AAGACGACTTTATATGTCAATAAATTATACATATTCGGATTCAGCGCATCAAACTGCATCATATCACATAAAAAATTCAACAAAAAAAAATTTGCTCCACTTTTGCCTGTCGCCAACCTTACGATACGTGAAAACGTGACACAACAACATCTACGGAAAGCATACCACACGGCTATACTTGCTGGCTGACATGATTTGATAACACAGATTGTTTGGAAGATGACGCTCAGCAGGTCTATCAGAATATAATCTGGAATCAAACTGTCAACTTTCAAATTGCACATGTAATTGGTTACAATCTTATCGGACAAGTACCGATCGATTGATAATATATTCCTATCAAAAGTTAGTCGCGTGAACGTGACTGATTTGAACCTGCTACTAGTGGATGAACTTTCATCTCTGTTAGGTATGTTAAATTTCAAAATGAAGAGACGAACACCCTCACCCCTATATTCATTGATCCTTCATGAACAAGAACTGTATAAATCATATAAGTAATATAATCATTTTATTATCTAATTACTTTGTTCTTTCGCCTTTATGTAGGCGCACACATTTAATGAAGCTTTTCCAAATATTCAGAACGAGTTTAGAAATCAACCACTTAGCAAAGAAATTTCATCAGAATGACAGAAACACTTAGTAACGCATATCGAGACCCAGTAATCAAGTTCGTTGCTGCAGAATTCGTGTCCAAAATCCCACCCCACTTTTCCGCAATGACTAATCTGATTCCCACACCGTACTCGAACGAGTTACATTTGTTGGTATTACATACATAACGAACTTCGTCCAAAATTGGAGACACTGGAATAACTGGATCTGTTCGAAGAATTTGATAATAAACATTGACAGGGACTTTCGCCGGTTCACACATATATCTCGTCGTTGAATTTTCACCAGCCTCCCAAGAGTATGTGCAAATGCCACTTTGACAATCTTCAAACGTGTCCCGATCACGATAACACTGATGAACAGTTGGTAAATTGCTGTCATTATAGAGTAATGACGACATCAGATTCTGCAAAGTCTCAAGTTGCTCTGTCAGCTCGATATAGTGCGAAATATATTTCTGAAAATACTTGGAAGCACAATCATTGCTTGTCGCACATTCATAAGACCATAGTGCTTTTCTTTCGACACTCGGTTCAAAAGAGAATCGAGCATCTACTACGAGACCAGTCTCGAACTCGATATCTGTTGAATTATCGGCAGCAAATGAAGCGGAACCGGTCTTTCTCACGTAATCCATTTCAAATGTTACTCCACATCGTCCGGCGTTCGAATAAGTTCGACAACTCGATGGTATTATCACTGAATCTTTAAAGGAGAAATCAACATCGCAGTTAACGAGACATCGTATCATCTCGACACTCTTAGTCTGATGGTAATTTGTATCGATCATTGATGTACGTCGTAGAGCATTCTTAGTACTAATAAATGCGCCATTAATGGTCGTAGCGAAGACAAGTGTAATCAGTGCAAACGAAATTCGTGCTCGGTGCAACATATTAAGATACAGGTGTGCCGTTTGATAGAATATAACGAATAAATGTTATCAAGTTTATTTATATGTAAGGAACAATGTCTTTGAGTAGGTTTTATTTACTTTTTATTTATCGTTAGTCATTGAAGTTTACCGAAGTTATCTATCGAACGTGTATAATAAATATTTGTACTTGGAATCAAATTTAATAAATGATGAGGTTTATCAAGAAGATGACGAACAGCAGATGACTGAATAGATGCACGTCATCGAGTGTCGGAATGGAACAGAGCGATAATCTTCTTTCCACTGTAATACATATAATAATTCAATAGACATCTTGTCCAATCGTTGAAGAAAAACTCAACAGTACAGTCACTGAGACAGTTTACCATTCATTTTTCCTCCTTACTTCTCAATTGACAGTATAGACTTCTTTCCATCAAAGCAGCAGTCGTTGAGAAAAACGCAATTAAAATTTTCAACGACATCGTTTCATGTAAAGGTATTCTGAAGTAAGAAAGGTAATCTTGCGTATAAATAAGACAATATTTAACCGTTCTCTGTTCCTATCGTTTGCCGATGTATACCCGAAGTATATTCAACCTGAAAATATATCTAAACAAACATCTCCGTGATCCAACAAGTTTCCTATTCTCGTCATGTTCACATATTTCTATGTTAAAGTCGACTTTTATTCCATGTCTTACATTTCATCTCTGTTATGTAGTCACATGCTTTTGCCGAGAAACAATCTAAGTAATTAAAAAGAGAAAACTTATTTAATTTTTCTTTCTCTCACAATTGTCAGTTGTTTTGCATTTGGTCTCGCAAATAATTCTCTCCCGAATGGAACACTATGAAACGATTCGTCGATATTTCATCGATCTGAACCTATTCGATTCGAAAACGAACGATGCTCATGTAAAACGGAATGAAATTCTCTCAACAAGAATCTACATTGTTCTTCTTCTCACTATCATCGTTCTATTTACATTATACATGTGTTTAATTTCTCAAACAAATACAATAACAATCACAAAACCAACACAGAAACAATTTGAAAGACTGACAAATAAATATGCAAATAAATTACAATGTCTGTGCAAACAAATCTCGATTCCTTATCGACAATTTATGAATATCCAACCTGTATTCGATGAAATCTGTCTATCCGACTTTGTTAGTCAGAAGTGGATTGACTATTTGTTTTATGAAAACACAAGTTATTACTTCCAGTTGGATTTTCGTCATAGTGCAGCATCGAAATTTCAAATTCTTCGAGCTTTATGTGAACAAGCTCGATTGACAATCGATGATAATCTGGAAAAATTCTATGTGAATCAGTTTCTAAGTAATCAATTGATAACACAAACTGTTTTTGATGCTCAAACAAGTTCATTTATTGATTCGTTTCAAATGACAACATTTTCCATATTTCAAACTTTGTTGAAATTCATTCGAAATCTTATTATTTCAAATGCACTAGTCTCCGGTGTTGAAATGCGATCTACACTCCAATTTTACAACAATAGTTATCCGTATATCGAAATGGAGAATATCCGGTATTACCAAGAACGTGTGCAAGGCAAATTCTTTGATTGTTATTGTGAAGATTTCACAATTTGTCAATTACAAGAAGGAATTTACACACAAATGAACATGTTTGATTACGCTGGATCTGATTGGAGTGGATATAAAGATATCAATGCAAGTACAAATATGATAAATGCTACGTTTCTTGTTCGTGGTATGTTTTCCAGTTGTAAACATATGGAATCGCTAATGAAATCGACAAGTGAATGTTTATCGGACCAATCGTGTTTAAATCAAATTGGAGCTTATATAAATCATTCTTCGGTATCGATCAATTCCTTCCCGAAATTAAACTCATCGAATCCAGCACGTTATTTGACCATTGAAACATTAGCGAATAATCTATTCGTTGGAAATTGGATTCTGAATAAATCTTATTCAGCATATTTTGCTTCTTGTCAACCCTCGACTTGTCAATATACTGATACGCAGAAATATAGTTTCATTTACATTTTAACATCCGTCATCACTCTCTATGGTGGAGTTCGAGGATTACTCGCGTATTTCATTCCAATCATCATTACTTTTCTTCGTAAGAAGAAGATCCAAACACCACCGAGTACTGTTGTTCCTCCACTTCCTCAAAGTAGGATGACACGGGTGCCATCGTTCTTTCAACATATAGCACAGTTGAACATATTCAATAGTTACTCACCGGATGAACACGAACAGAAAAACGAAATTATTTCATCGAAGATTTATCTAATTGCTTTAGCAGGATGTTTACTCGGTTTCGCGATCGCACTATCTCAAGAAAATCAATCGAGGATAGTTTATATCTATAATCCTACACGTTCTCAATTTGAACAACTGAACAATCAATCCACTCTCAATCTTCAATGCCCCTGCACGAAAATAACAATCAAATATTCGAAATTTCTTCATTTCAATCCCACTTATCATCAAATCTGCAACAGCACCTTCGTTTCGAACCTATGGTACAATTCCTACGACATCTGGAATGTATCCATCCCTTGTATCTCCCCGTCATTTTCTGACTTAGCATCGTTTTATTTTTCGTTTCTCTCTACACTTTGCCAATCAGCTCACGACATCATTTACAGCGGTTTAGCTCAAACCGATTCGATGAATTATGTTACATCAGAAGCCATACTTGAAAATCAATTCAATAACGAAATGGAAGCCTTTATCAAATTATTCGAACAACGATTACAAACATCGTTTCGTGGCCAATTAGCACTGATGCAAGGCGTGATTTTCACCAATCAAATCATTTCATCCAAAGCAACAAATGTTTATTACAATCACACAAAACTTATCAATAATACCATCATAGTCGATTCGTATTTAACCACACATGAAAATTGTACGTGTGGAACGAATCCCAAATGCCATACAGATCTCCCCATTTGTTCATCGAATCGAATGAATTATATCAAAGGTATGTATGTCGGATGTTTCATGGTAGATTCAGTATTGATCTCGACGACGGAATGTTTCTTTAATGAAACATGTATAGAATTAATGAAATCTTCGATGAAAAATTCATCAGAATTGTATCAACAAATGTATACCTTGAATAGCTCCGAGGTTAGTGAATATCAAATCAATGATTTGATTGGAACACTTGTTGGAAACTTATTTATTGAACAGTGGAATGAATTTTACTCATACAATGCTTATTATAACGAATGTCAACCAATTTATTGTTCATATACCGTCTCGCAAACTTCCAATGTCATCTATATTCTCACGAGATTGATTGGTTTGTATGGTGGTTTGACGTTTCTTCTTGGATATTTAGTACCGAACATTGTGACGGTAATTCGAAGGAGACATCACCAACGCGCAGATGTGTCTATTTGGAATCGATTTAAGATTTCTTATCAAGCAGCTAAAACTAAACTGATTGAATTGAATTGGTTCGAAAGTAACACAAACAACGAAGAAAATCTTCGAAAAGAAATCATCACCACTCGAGTGTATCTCATCGTATTCACACTTGTTTTATTGACATTGGTTTTTTATTCTTCCTTGATCGACAAGACGATTAATGTCAAAGTTTCATTATCCAGTTTAAGTCAATATCAACAAGTTCAAATGAAATATCCGAATACATTCAGTTGTCCGTGTAATGAAATTTCGGTTCCATACAAAAATTTTCTCATACTTAGTCCGATTTATCATGAAGTTTGTTCGTCGGATTTCATCCGACAATCTTGGATTGACTATCTATACAATGAACAAAGCATTACCGATCAAAACTATCGCGCAGTGGCGGCCGCACAGTTCCAAGTTCTCAGTTATTTGTGTATAATAGCAGATGGAACAATCCGGCAGAGTTTAGTACAATTTTACTCCACAAAGTTCATTACCAATGACTTTATTCCATTTTCATTGTTTCAAATTCAAACTGATTCAATCGTTGACATTTTTCAAAAGACACTCTCACAAACATTCAAACGACCGTTTGAGATGACTCAAGATCTTCTCCAAGGCAATTCTTTGATGTCGGTGTTTCAAACCAATTGGAAATTCACCGTCTTGAAGACCAGTTCTTGGTCGCCGATCTACACAAATCCAATGTTTCATAACCAAACATGCAACTGTGGAACATCATCGAAGTGTACTCAACCGGTTTTCATCAATAATACATTTGTCAATGGATTGTACATTGGTTGTTATCCAGTTGAAACGATGTTACAGTCATCACTTGAGTGCTTCTATAACCAAACGTGTTTACAGATGATTTTATCGTATTTTGGAGAATTACCGAAGAATGTGACATTTCGAGTGCTTTCAGCGAGTAATCAATATGGCATTGACGAGAAAATTCAAGAAATGGTCGATCGATTGTTTGTGAATCAATGGATTATAAATCAGTCGTATGAAAACTATTTTCTAAAGTGTCAATCGACGTACTGCACTCATTCATACATTGAGTATTTCAATATTTTTTATACTATAACAACTATTCTTGGGTTATTCGATGGAGTGACTGTTCTTTTGAGGTTAATTGTACCGTTGATGATTTATTTCATCTTTCGGATTTTTTATAAGACGAAGATTTCTAATTGTCCTATAACACAATAAAGAGTTGATTTTTATTTTGTCAAGCGAACAACAGATCCTTCGATAGTCCACCCTTACAAGGAAACAGAGACATTACATGTAAATTATTTCAACGAAATTTAGTTCAAGTTTTCATCTTTATTTTTATGAATTTTAACTCGTGTTCTTGATTAAATAAAAGAATTATCAAAATAGAAGAAGAAATTAATGTTCGCATTGTATGAAGTTTAGGTAGTTCGTCATTTGTGGCATTTTAACCTGCATAAGACTGACAGTTAGTGCCAGTATATGGTTTCTGACAATAACAGAGATACGAATTACCAATGTTACGGCACACACCACCATTCTTGCATGTTGTTGGAGTGCAAGAACCCGCTAAAATTGTCGAAGAAAACTATTGAANCATTGGTTGTTATCCAGTTGAAACGATGTTACAGTCATCACTTCAGTGTTTCTATAACCAAACGTGTTTACAGATGATTTTATCGTATTTTGGAGAATTACAGAAGAATGTGACGCTTCGAGTGCTTTCAGTGAGTAATCAGTATGGGATTGACGAGACAATTCAGGAAATGGTCGATCGATTGTTCGTGAATCAATGGATTATAAATCAGTCGTATGAAAACTATTTTCTAAAGTGTCAACCAACGTATTGCACTTATTCATACATTGAGTATTTCAATATTTTTTATACTGTAACAATGATTCTTGGATTATACGATGGATTAACTGTTCTGTTGAGAATTCTTGTTCCATTGATGATTTATTTCATCTTTCGGATTTTTTGTAAGAGAAAAATTTCGGTCACGAAATAAATTTTGCATCATGCCTGTGCAATACTCAACAGAGAGACTGACGTGTCATCTGATGTTGATGAGTCACATACACACATACTGGGTATATAAATAGATCGCATGTAAATCATCCAGTCAGTTTTCTGCTGTTTGAGTAAAAACAGATGGCAAGAGTATTCATTCGATCAGCTGAACAAAATTGGAATATTGGTGGTAGTAGTGATGAAGAATGGAATGGATGGCGACATGTGGAATCCGAAGATAATTTCTGGGGATGTGGTAATAACATTGGCATGACTCTACAGAAAGGTAAGCGCGAGTGTACATCCTCAGTTTCTAACAATGAGTTCTCGTTATAGGTGATATGAAATGTACATACCGCGCGTCATATTATCATCCAAGTTTTTCCTTAGTGAAATTGAATGGTCAATCAGCGAGTGGCTCATTTGATTACGATCGAAGCAAACCGAAAGCGAAAGTGTATGGTGCATTTGTCGAGTTTATCGAGAAGAAAATTGCTGAACAGAATGCAGAAGATTCTTCTGTTGTCAATAAACTTTTGGGTTTTTCTTCCTAAACTCTTGCATACCAATCTAGAAAGTCCCAGAAGTTTCCATACTATAGGATGTGAATGTCTTCCGTATGATACAAAATCATCGATATGAATGTTGATGCCGAATTAAAAAGAAAATTTTCTCATAAAAGTATTCGAGTACTTTCAGCGAGCAATCGGTATGGAATTAATGAAACAATTCAGGAGATGTGTTTGTTGGGATAGAATACTTCTCCATCACCAGATTTATTAAAATCATGTACTTGTTCTGTTGGTTTGAAAGTCTATTCATGCAAACATTCAGTCGGTTTAGCTATCGTCTTGCTAATGACAAAACATGTGTTCAACCATTAGGTAAACGAAGAGGAAAAGACCGTCCAAAGATACTGCACTTATTCATATATTGAATATTTTACGATTTTTTCTATCATAACAATGATTCTGGGATCATACGATGGAGTGACTGTTCTTTTGAGGTTTATTGCACCGGCGATGACTTATTTCATCTTTCGAGTTTTTTGTAAAACAAAAATTTCTGATTGTTCTATAACAAAATAGAAAGTTTATTTTGATTATGCCAAGTCATTCTATTTATTTATTCAATTCACACGCACATACTAATCGCAATTATATGGTAAATGAAAACATATATTTATAATGTCAAGCGAACATCAGATGCTTCGATAGTACTTATATTTCAACAAAATTTAGTTCAACTCTTTCTCTTTATTTTTGTGAATTTTAACTTCAAGCATATTCGAGTTTTATTTTGTTTCTTGATTAAATAAAAGAATTATTAAAATAGAAGAAAAAAAGCAATGTTCGCGTTGTATGAAGTAAGGCAGTTCGTCATTTTTTCACATTTAACCTGCATAATACTCACAGTATTTGCCAACATATGGTTTCCGACAATAACAGGCAGACGAATTACCCAGTGCTATAACATATACCGCCATTCTAGCATGTTAGAGTGCAAGAACTCGCGAAAAATTCGAACAAAAATATTGAAATATAAAAGTTCAACAGTACTCACGAGGTGTTTCTGTTGTTGTTGATATTAGTGATATTTCACATCTCTCACCAGTAAATTCTGGAGGACATAGACAGAATGAGAAATCGCCATTTGTAATACAGACTCCAGGTTTACAATAATTAGCAGACATCATGCTACAGGTTGTCCTACTTCTTTCGCAACGATCACCTTCAAAATGCGGTTGACAAAAGTATTTTGGTTCACCATTATTAGTAAAATAGCAGAAACCTTCGTTTAAACAGTATTGGAAACATCCTAGAATATTAAAACAGAGAATAAGATACCAACATAAATTTTTGTTGTTTTCCAGTATCTTATTAATTACGTGAACGGTATTCGCATCGCTTTCCAGCATAGTCATACGGGCAATGACAACCAAATCCTTGTTCATTAGCATAACAAATTCCCCCATTCATACAATAATTAGGACCAAGGAAAATACACAAACTGTTACGAACTTGTATTTGTTCAACTTGTGAAAGGTTTATGCGATTGCTGGTTCCATTTTTTTCTGGATTTGGCACTGTGTTCCCATCCAATTTGGTAAATAGACACATCTTGGAGGCCTTCATCTGTTTTAAGACAAACGCCACCCATCGAGCAATAGTTTGAGCATGGATTTACGACAGAACTTGATTGAACACATTCAAAAACAATCATCGATAAAATGACAACGACAAGCGTAACCATTCTAGATTGCATCTGCGTTTATTTTCCTGTAAATTATTCGAGAACGAACGAATATAGCAATTCTTTGTCTGACAGTATATATATACAACGGTATCTTAGAAAACTGATTCGTCCAAAAAATTCACTTAGTTATCCGGAAAGGTATCCGAATTCTTTTCTCTGAAACTCAAAGGTTTACGAGTTTCCGAATACCAACAAAAGTATAGTAAAAAAACCGAAATCAATTTTCCGATTTCTGAGAATTTGTCGACGCTTTCTTGGATTTTGTGTAACGCACAGAAGGACGTCCTCGAAGTGATTTTTGTAAAGTGTACAGCCTTTCGAAGAATCAAATTAGCATCTGAAGTTCAACTTCAGATCATGATTTTATTCATGTTTCAAGAACTTTTGCTGCATGGAAACAATGGTAACTTCCATTTGTTAAAGTTGACTAAAGACGCCGATCTAACGAGGTAACAGCTGATTTGAATCACTCTAAACTCAAAAATAAATCAAATAAATCACTCGAACTCATCTAAACCACGAAAGATCAACAAAATCCCCAAAAATCTTTTGAAATCCAGTTGCATCATTTCAAGATTGACGAGAAAACGTGTGGAGCCAGTGTAACTCAGTAGAACTCAGTACAGAATCGTGACAAACCATATTCATCAAGGCATTCAAAGGGAAAGGCGATTTCGTGAGTTCAAGTGATTTCCAATGATCTCTATCGATTACTAATGGTTTTTGTCGATTTTCAATCATTTCCGGTGATTCCTAGTAATTTCTGATTATTTCCAATGATTTCTAGTAGTTTCTAGCACTAGAAATCAGTTTTTTCTCCCTTGCGCCGATTCCAAGAATTCAGATACTTTTTCTAATCTAGAAGTTTTGTTTTTCAGTTGATAAGGCATCATCAAAACACTCTTGACCTTATATATCTTCACAAGATATAAAGACAAGAGGAACGAAGAGATGAGAGATCTGTCTTGCTCTAAAACGGAGAAGGCTAGACGGCGTCCAAATGTCATTGATCGATTTGAAGAAGAGTTGCAAAGAGATTCAACTGACTCCAATGAGTAGAAAAACGAAAAAGAACCGTATCAATCAGCGATCAAAGAATAAAGAATGCCATCTCAATCTGCTGGAGAAAAGAAAGGAAATCGATTCAACACAGAAGAATATCATCGAAAGGAAGAAGACAACTTCGATGGGAGATGGAATCGCTGATCGAGGAAAGATTCGCATTCGATCGACGTGAAAATGCTTCGGAAGAAGAAAGTAAAGAAATAAGTTGAGAACACAACCGAATTGGAAAGAAAAAGATTTGTCCAGAGGAATGATGACGGACTAAAACAAAACAACTGACAAAAATATCCTTGACAAACAGCGTTCCTTTCATTGTTAAGGGAGAGATCCATTCACGTTTCCACACTTTTCTCATTGAAATGATTTGCGATTTCTTCATTTGATCATTGAAATAAATCAAGGGAAAATCTTCACTGACGACAAGAGGAAAAGGAAAATTGCCTAGCCGAAAGGAATGTTCATTGACTTCAATGGAAGAGATCGACCTCTTTGTTCCACTGGATAAACGAACAAATGAATCCATTGAAAAGCATCGAAGGACAATTTCGATTGAACGAACAACGACACCTTCAAGACAATTCAACGAGCTCTCTTCTCTTTTCTTTTCCTTTTTCTCTCGAAGAGATTCGACTCATTGACGAATCACGTTGAAGTGAATCCAAAGATTTCTTGCAGAAGGAAGAGAATACCCGTTCTCCAGTGAATCGAATTCATCGATGTCCTTTCCGATCAATAGCAAATGAGACGTTCGATTATTCGACTCATTAAACACTCCTCCCTCCTCATTCCATTTCAAGGTTTTCAATCAACATTCGTGTCAATAGTCGAGGGCTGTTCTTCTTCTTCTTCTTCATCGATATTCAGCTGACTAAACGGATGACACGAAGTTTATTTTTCCTCTCAACAATGCCAATGAGCGCAGAGTTCTCTGGTCATTTCCTGATTATCGATCAGCGTCTTTTTCTTTCGCTGACCAACAAGAAGAACGTCATTGCAATGGATCAATCGAAGAGTCAATGGCATTGCTCGAGGACTTTTGAAGCGGGAAAACCCTCTTCACGAATTGTTTTGGCGATGTTGTTTTTCGATTTTGTTGACACTGTCACTCATTGGGGAAAATGAAGGAAATGGCGCCGAACACCGAAGGTAATCGACAGACGGAAAGAACTCATCATGGAATTGAAAGATTAATATTAAGGTCGTCTCATCATGGTGGAAGATTCAATCATCAAATCGGAGAAAAAAATTGATTAACATTTAGAAAATCATCATCGCATTCAGTTGAATCGAAATCAAATGATTGAACAATTTTATGTTTCTCTCACAAATCGTTCCTTGTTCTTCGATGTTCATTCTTCTTTCTTCCTAAACGATTGTTGATGAAATATTTTTTTGTCCGAGTTTTCTTCATCGTCGTCGGCTTCATTTGATTTTCCATCTTTCAACGACTTTTTTCTTTCGTTCAGAAGTGAAGAAAAGAAAAGATTCGTTTGCATTTTGTTCACATGACAAAATAAAACTCACTGATTTTCATTTTCTCACATCACTGTGTGGAAAGAATCGTCTCGGTTTTTGTCAGTCGATTAGCAAATCCAAGAAATTCTATTGAAAAGCAAAATAAAAAGCAAGTCTTTTCTCTTCATTCGTTCGTCTTTCTTTCGAATCTAAGAATTCCTCTTCATTGGAAAAACGCCATATATCAGTAAGCTCTTTCTCTTTTCTTTTCTAGAACAATTGTGGATCATCGTTTCTTCTTTATCGTTCGTATTGGTTTCCAAAATTTATTCAATATCAAAACGTTGGATTCGGTCATTGTCCACGTCGACTACATAAAGATTTGCTTGATCATCCAAAAAAAATGAAAAGCTTATCAGCTGATTCAATTGATTAGTTTGGGATCCTTCACCACTTCCACCGACCATCACTTCTCCTTCTTTCGCACCTTTCAACCAACGCATCACTCGATGAGTTTCTTGATCAGCAATATACATTGAGCCCATCCGATCAACAGAGATGCCGCTTGACCGATCCAATTGTTCTAAACTCTTTCCTTTCACTTGACCACTAGCAGCAACAGCAACATCTTCTCGAACTTCTCTCAGCCATTTCATTCAGAGGAAAATGGCACTCCAAGACTCTCGTACTCTCGAAATACTTCTGAGATTGCGAGAGAGACCATCAAATCACTCGTCGATTGATTCGATCGATCAACACTGTGATTCGTTGATCCAACTGATCAGTTCGATTTTCTTGTCGTCTCCCATCAGCGATGATCTGGTCTTGTGTTCCATTCCGCATCCATCGCACGATTCGATCTATTAGCCGGACGGCGATGAAAAGTGTTTCATCATCATCATCGACATCAGGGGTAAATGGCTGATTCAATGCATGACCACCACTACAGTTCGACCCTTCGCTGACCATCTTGTCTTGTTAGCGATTTGTGAAAGAACTAGATGAACATAAATATCGAAGAATCGAATGGAAATGATCAACTTCAATCATCATCTCTCCTCAAAATCGATCGATTCATGCCGAAAAATAGAGTCAGAAAATAATCAANTGTACAGTTCGATGTCATTATCGTCCCGTTCGGTAATGACCCAGGGTGGCATACACTTGCACACTCTTCTGAATCATTGGCAAAACGACATCGTACTTGATCATTATCGGCATCAATCGTTGGTATGATAAAAGTCTGTGGAATACCTACGAGTATATAAACTGGAGAAATTATTGTGGCCACAGGTGGATTATTGTATTTGCCGTTGGACCTTAGTTGTAGACCGATCAAACTCAAAATACTCCATTCACCCGTAGTCCCTATTCCGAGCGGAAGAGATAAGCTACGCCATTGTTCACTAGTGTATCTAATCTCGCAAGAGGAGACATTTTCGACATCGATGATAGTTGGATTTTGGACAACTGCCAGGTTAAAACTTGCGGAATAATCCGTACAATATAATTCGAGTTGAATACCTTTAGATCGATTTAGTTGACCCGATTGATGAAAACATTGCAGGGGTGAACTACGTTTCTTACCACTTTATTTTTACGAACTCCCGGAACCGATGTCCGTTACAAACATCTGTGTGACAAAAAAGCCAATGCCGATTTTATCATGAAGTCCGTAATCGAAAACATGAGGTATATATATGTCAGATGTCCGTAACGATGTATAACTGGTAGATCGTAACTATAACACTCAGTATCAATCAATAATAATCGAATGGTACAAATTTAATTAGAGACCGTAATGGAACAACCGGAAGTCCTTAATGATTAGCAATGAGCAATCGAGATGAAGGCGACACTTTATTCATACTGAAATGAAAATTTGTTCATAAAAAAATAAAACGTGTAGTAATAGTAATATCTTATTCTTGTAGTTATCTTTGTAAATATTGAAAACAAAAGAAAAGTCATTATGCTCGTAACGATCTACCCGTAAGTTCTTTTATGAACTCCATGATGGGATCAATTTACATTTTCAGATTACATTCAATCTTGTATTTTACGATCACCGTGATTGAACTAGCCACATTCTAAACGTTTTGTTCCAAATATCTAGTCAGTGTATTGAAATCTCCTTGTTTTTTAATTTTACGATCTGCGGTAGAAAAGAAATTTCGAACTTCCGTCACAATCCAAAAAGTTTCCGGACACCCAGCATTCCGGACTCCTGCACGAAATTAAGGAGAAAAAATTTTCGCGAACATCCGGTCATGCTGCCAGGTTTTCGGAATAGGTGGTACGAAACGTAATTTTCCCCACAGGAACAATTTGAACGACTGACAAATAAATATGCAAATAAATTACAATGTCTGTGCAAACAAATCTCGATTCCTTATCGACAATTTATGAATATCACGCCCTCAAAGATTTTCTCATAATTCGTCTGATTTATCATGAAGTTTGTTCGTCGGATTTCATCCAACAATCGTGGATTGAATATCTATACGATGAACAAAGCATTACCAATCAAAACTATCGCGCAGTGGCGGCCGCACAGTTCCAAGTTCTCAATTATTTGTGTATAATAGCAGATGGGACAATCCAGGAGAGTTTAGTACAATTTTACTCCACAAAGTTCATTACCAATGACTTTATTCCATTTTCATTGTTTCAAACTCAAACGGATTCAATCGTTGACATTTTTCAAAAGACACTCTCACAAACATTCAAACGACCGTTTGAAATGACTCAAGATCTTCTCCAAGGCAATTCTTTGATGTCGGTGTTTCAAACCAATTGGAAATTCACCGTCTTGAAGACCAGTTCTTGGTCGCCGATCTACACAAATCCAATGTTTTATAACCAAACATGCAATTGCGGAACATCATCGAAGTGTACTGAACCGGTTTTCATCAATAATACACTTGTTGATGGATTGTACATTGGTTGTTATCCAGTTGAAACGATGTTACAGTCATCACTTCAGTGTTTCTATAACCAAACGTGTTTACAGATGATTTTATCGTATTTTGGAGAATTACCGAAGAATGTGACGCTTCGAGTGCTTTCAGTGAGTAATCAATATGGGATTGACGAGACAATTCAAGAAATGGTCGATCGATTGTTCGTGGATCAATGGATCATAAATCAGTCGTATGAAAACTATTTTCTAAAGTGTCAACCGACGTACTGCACTTATTCATACATTGAGTATTTCAATATTTTTTATACTGTAACAATGATTCTTGGATTATACGATGGATTAACTGTTCTGTTGAGAATTCTTGTTCCATTGATGATTTATTTCCTCTTTCGGATTTTTTATAAAACGAAGATTTCTAATTGTCCACTAACACAATAAAGAGTTGATTTTTATTTTGTCAAGCGAACATCAGATGCTTCGATAGTCCACCCTTACAAGGAAACAGAGACATTACATGTAAGTTATTTCAACGAAATTTAATTCAAGTTTTTATCTTTATTTTTGTGAATTTTAACTCGTGTTCTTGATTAAATAAATGAATTATTAAAATAGAAGAATAAAGTAATGTTCGTGTTGTATGAAGTTCGTCATTTGTGGCATTTTAACCTGCATAATACTGACAGTTAGTGCCAGCATATGGTTTCTGACAATAACAGAGATACGAATTACCAATGTTACGGCACACACCACCATGCTTGCATGTTGTTGGAGTGCAAGAACCCACTAAAATTGTCGAAGAAAACTATTGAAATACAAAAGTTCAACAGTACTCACAAGGTGTTTTTGTTGTTGTTGAAATCAGTGATATTTCACATCTCTCACCAATAAATGTTGGAGGACATACACAGAATGATGAATCGTCACGTGTAACACAGACTCCAGGTTTACAATGATCAGCAGACAACTTTTCACAGGTTGTCTTATTTCTTTCACAACGGTCACCTTCCAATTCCGATGGACAAAAGCATTTTGGTTGACCATTATTAGTAAAATAACATAGACCTCCGTGTAAACAGTATTGGTAACATGCTAGAATATTAAAACAGAGAACAAGATACAAATATGGATTTTTGTTTGTTTTTCAGTATCGATTAATTACGTGAAGGGTGTTCGCATCGCTCTCCAGTATAGTCATACGGGCAATGACAACCAAATCCTTGTTCATTAGCATAACAAATTCCTCCATTCTTACAATAATCAGGGACAAGGAGAAGACACAAACTGTTACGAACTTGTATTTGCTCAGCTTGTGCAAGGTCGACGAGATTGATGGTTTCGTTTTTTTTCTGAATTTGGCATCGTAGTCCTGTCCAATTTGGTAAACAGACACATTTGGGACCTTGATTTGTTTTAAGACAAACGCCACCCATCGAGCAATAGTTCGTGCATGGATTTACCACAGAACTTGATTGAACAACAATCATCGATAGAATGACAACGACAAGCGTAACCATTCTAGATTGCATTTGCGTTTATTTTTCTGTAAATTATTCGAGAATGAATGAATATAGCATATTCTTTGGCTGCCAGTATATGTACATCGGCAAATTTACTTTTCTATTGTAATTTAATCTTGGGATGACCCCAAAATATATTTTTTGTCAACTAAAAATCTCGGCGAGTTACTTCCTCTATTGTAAATAGTGCATAAAATGATGGTCGCAATCGTCTGTCAATAATATATTTAACTCAAGATTTATCTGCATTGTTAAAATTTCTGTGATCAGCAATGAGTAGAATAAATATTTGGAATTAATCTCTTTTACTTCTCTATAATGATCACTTCCGTCAAATCTCTAGTTACGAAGGGTGAGAGTGAAGGATTCCGCTTGCTTCATATTTTCATTGCATTTACGATTCGTCTCCTGCCTGAAAATTCAGTCATTTCCTATAGCAATTATCGACGTTGATTGATCACAGATGTATGTTCATTCAAGATGATGGGCAACTTAATTTCGGGTCATGTCTAGTATCGTTGAATTTTTTGTCATTATTTATAATATCAGAAATATTATAATATATTTTCTCAAAAATCATTGCCAGAAAGCTTTTTTCTACCGGCAAAGTTGAATTCATTTTTGAATTATCTCATAATCTACCAATTCTATTGATTAATTCAGTTTTAACGTTTTAGTTTTGCTCGATTGGTTATAGTCAATCATAGGAATAGTTCGATGTGAAAAGATGTAATGTTGCTCAGGAAAATGGATTGTTATAAAAGTACTTGTATATTCTGGAATGTCTATTTTTATTTTAATCAAACAAAGATTTGTGTCATATTCTTTCTTACTACAGCCACGTCATTAACTTCTGTCGAGAGTGACTCATCAATCTACTTTCGTTTTGGTGGTGTAATACATTCAATAGAAAAGAATGACTCAAGACTGATTCATTTCAGGCTTTTTTCGAATATATAATACGATTAAGTTAATATTATTCTTGAGTAATAAAGAAAAGTCGTTAATTATGGCAAGAGTATTCATTCGATCAGCGGAACAAAATTGGAATATTGGTGGTAGTAGTGAAGAAGAATGGAATGGGTGGCGACATGTGGAATCTGAAGATAATTTCTGGGGATGTGGTAATAACATTGGCATGACTCTACAGAAAGGTAAGCGTGTGTACACTCCCGACTTTTTACCAAAGATTTGTTGTTATAGGTGATATGAAATGTACGTATCGTGCGTCATATTATCATCCAAGTTTTTCCTTAGTGAAAGTGAATGGTCAATCAGCGAGTGGCTCATTCGGTTATGATCGAAGCAAACCGAAAGCTGAAGTATATGGTGCATTTGTTGAATTTATCGAGAAGAAAATTGCTGAACAAAATGCACAAAACTAGACGTGCAGTTTGTCCGAGATTGATGGACTTGGAGGAATTTTCTCTGATTATTTTATTTGCTCTTTTGAAATAAAAGTAAAAAATGTTCTACTTAAGGGATATCATTTTGTGGGTAAGTTTCTTGAATAAAATAATGTTTTATTGGATTGAGGGGGAAAAGTGCAAATTTAAGTCATTTGTTTAATTTTGTTTGTAACGGTACTTCATGTATTGATCGAAATTATGATATCTTCCGAAGACCTTAATAAACTGTTCGGTGAGAAATTGCCGAACTTCTTCGATACCAGCTAAATTATCATGTTTGAACTTGTTTACATAATTTTTATTGTCCACAGCTTCTTTATTGAAACATGGACAAATCAAATCACGATTAATTTTCAAACGATCATTGGCCAGTTCTGTTAGTTCAGACTCTATTGGGCGTGTGATGCTTTCACTGTGCGTGACGATGACAACGAATGGTACCGATGTATTACGAGATCGTACATGGTTATCATCTTAATACGGAGAAAAATGAAGTTTTTAGTTAATAAAAAGTTAGTTGAAAGTTACTTGTTTGGGCATCGGCAGTAGAATTTGCGATTGTAGTCTCATTAATTAATTTTGTAGCTGAATCATAATCTGTACCTGCTTGTGCCACAATCACGTAGAATGAACTACATACTGCATATTCCTCAGTGTACCGACGTATCTCTTTTTCCGGGTCAGTTATGCCAGGAAAATCGATTATATGTACTTTCTTATTATTTTCAGAATCTTCTATTGTGTACAAATGTACTTGTTTAGTTCGATCTTCATATGTTTTACCAATTCTTGCGGGTAGATTCCAGAGTGATTTCAAAAGACTCGATTTTCCAACACGATGCGCTCCAACGAAGGAGATATAGATATGTTGAGTCATCCACTTTCGTAATTCATGGATATAATAGACATCGTGCAATAATCTGAATGCTTGATATTTTGATTCGTCAGTCGTGCGGGTCAAAGTTGGACGATCATGATTCGTGTTTGGTACAAATATCTCCTTGCTTGCGACTGTTATGCAGTTCTTTTTATCGTCCATATTAATTTTCTTGAAATCAATAAACTTTTCTGCCAGTATTTTGCATATTTCAGATTCCGTCATTTCCTCGTTTGCACAGTTACTTGAATTGCCACCCATACTTTCGAATAACAAATTGATGTGACTTTGATACACCAATCGTTCGATTGTACCACGGGTAAGTCTGGTTAGACCGAAGTAACTGAATTCACATGTGAGTATTCCAATACTCGATACTATATCTGCACCTGCATAATCTGCAACAAGCTCAGCGCTCATACTGATTGCCTTGCCATACGTTAGTGCAATAGGAGCTGCTTGACAGAAAACAGCAAGTCCTATAACGATTCCTGCACCACATGCAAAAGCGAGTAGTGGATTATCCGACACTATTTCCTTGAATGACTTTTGAAACTCATAACTGGGTAATTCAGATAAATCTTTATGCAAAGCCTGCAAGACGGGTAGCGATTCATTGTACAATGTTTGATCAATGACAAGCGATTCGTTATTGCTCTTTTGGCGAGCGAATTCGTTTAAATGTTTTTGAAGCGTTTCTATAAATTGATCAAATTTGTCCGGTGATCTATTTTGAACTAATTTGATAAAGAATTGCAAAATTGTTGGGTGACCTTCCAGAATATCTCCAATTTCCAAGTGTCTTTCTGAGTGAATATATGCAAACATCGATCGAAGGAAAGCAGCTATAAGAAAATTCATATCCAAGCTGGAGAACATTCCTCGTTGAACAGAATACGATGCCATATGTTGATTCCATTGAAAATCCAATTTAATTTTCCCAAAATGTGTGTGTAAAGAGAATTCTTTTGGGCCGACTCTAATCTGTTGTTTACTTGGAATAAGTCCATTACAGGTCACAATAGCTCGATGCTGAGCTTGTTCGGGAAACAGAGTGTATGAGTCTTTGTGAAATAGTTTAGGTGTTGATTCTAAGCAGTTGGTCTTGTCAGATGATATGAAATCTAAATTGTCACCTTGCATTGTAATCTTTAAATCATTGTTACAACAAACGACTATTGTCGACTTTACTGTCACATTGAACTGTTCCAATTCGGTCACTTCTTGTATCCCACGACTGTCTAATTTGATCACTTGACAAGATTTTAAGCTTTCAATATATTTTATCATAAAATGATTGACAAGACTTTCGTCGGTGTATTTTTGAGAGCGTGCGCTATACAGCTCATTGAGTTTCTTTGATATACAGTCGTTAAATATTTGCGTACCATTTACAGTTTTCAGTTGGTTATTCAAATAGTTAATTACCCATTCCCATCTTCCGCTGTCTCTTTCCGAAGCATATGTTCGTATAAATCCATAGGTGCCAATTGGTTTGTACTCCAGATTCATATTTTTTAGGAAATCTTTCAATTTCGGGATTATTGTATTCAGATGCTTCACCATTCCTGCTGCTGTTTCCTTAGTTATCATCCCTAACGCACCATTTAATGGAAGAAGTGTTTGAATTATGTCTTTACACAATGCAAGAGGAGGTTGTGCAGTTGCTTTCAATGCTGAAGCAGTTTCAATCAAGTTCAATATGTTTGGTACACAATCACTGCAATTGACTATTGTCAAAAAATGTTCATTCAAATTTCGTTGGATTAAATCTGCTGCAACAGTTTTGTTACCAAAAAATGGTGCGCCAAATGTGATACTGAAAATTTGCGGCTTTTCCGTATGACTTTTACCAGCTAAATGTCTTAGTGCACAAAGATGCGCAACACTCCCACCTAATGAATGGCCAGTAAATATAAGGCGTCGACGAGTCTGTGAGGATCTGTAACATTCGTCTGCAAATCTTATATGTGGAAATCGAGAAGAGCGACTCCAAAAACCTTTATGAACCATACCATTACTCGACAGAGTTGGAATAACCAGCAAATCTGTTAGAATATCGCTCCAGTTTTGAGTTCCTTTAAATGCAACCCACATTGTCTCGGAGTTTGTATTTGTTTTCGTGATTCCGATCAGATATGGAGAAGATGCATTGCAGGCAAATTTCAAGCCAACCATCGTAGGAATGCTGCTGCATGAACCATAATTTGTGTTTAGAAATTGAATAGGATTTTCTTCATAAACAGCATGTGAAAGAATGGCAGCTATTTCAATATCTATCCGATCAAAAATAGTTGTTTCTTCTTTGTTTTTCGCCTGCGCCGCATTGTCATCGATTATTTTCACACGTTGACCCAAAAATAATCGGTAGGCTTTGTCGTTTTTACATAAGAACGCACCATTCCATTCCTTTTTAACCACATCGAGGGAGCTGCTATCGTCAGCATCTTCGTCAATTTCTTGCAAATGTGCCTGGGGATATTCTTGTACGACCGTCTTTGAACTTATATGTGGTATTTCAAATTGTTTCGCAATATCTGTGATACTCAATTCGCGTACCTCAGGATCACCAGAATCACACTCAAATCCGCACGGTTTAATTTCCTTCTGTTGCCGTTTATAAGTAACTGATATAGCCATCCTAAACAAATACTTTTTTTGAAAAACGCTTCAATATAAAATCTATATATTATAAACGAAATGCTATGAAAGACAGTACATACATGGAACTGGCGGACTTGACATTACATATATAGTATCAAGGAACTCAAAGATCTTCAGATATTTTTGGCGGTTTAAATGCTCAATATTTATATGCACTATATAGGATAACTACAAATCCATCGCTTTACCATTCTCAAACTTATACAACAATAAAAGCAGATATAATATACCTTTGAAGTGTTTGTGAAAATACTCGTTGTATTGTGAGCCAAATCACACACAGTACACACGCAAATATTGGTGCGCAATACTTTTCTTTATTTTCACATTCATCATTTCTTCCCAAGTAAAATTTTTCTTCCGTAAATACGACGGAATAGAAACATATAATGCGCTCAGACGTACTTAACCACCGTTTCTTTACATTGAATGCGCACAAACGCGTCTGAAATGGCGTTTTCCGAAGCGTTCCCACACATTTTCATCTCCATGTGAAATATCAACTTACTTCATTTGTAAAGAGCCTTGTTATTTACCTAAAAATCAGTGAAAATTTTCTCAGATTCAAGGAATATATGGTTTATTGTTTAACCACCTATGCAGCAAAGCGGCAACTACGTACGAATAGAATTATGTACGTTGTATTTCTAGAGTGTTTGAGAGAATCGTTAGGCGTATAGGAGTACTACAAGGGCCTGGTCACGTAATTATAGCCTCGCCGGGATGATTTTTTGTAACAAAAATGAACGGTTTTGACTGGACTATTCGAAATAAAAGAGTTATTGACTTCAAAATATATGTATATCGGTGTATGATGTGTTAGGGTACAGATGGATGATTGACTCAGTTCAATATAGAAGAATGCAGACGGAAAATCATAAATTTTGCTCCCTATTTTACTTGTATTTTTTCGAAACTATGATAGATTTTACGCCCAATTTTCGATGGTTCTTTTGATTTCATATGCGTTTTCTTTGGCTGGTGGCATAGTGCAGGCTTGGACCCCAACTTCTCTAGAATATTTGACTGTCCAAATAACATACTCATCGAATTAATGTTTGAGAAAATCCCTCCCAAACAAAACATGGAAAAAAAGTGTCTGTGCGTCACAAAAACGGCCCGTGAGTCACAATGATTTTCCGTTTCTCTATTTTCACTACAGCAAGCAATTGAGAAATCAAATACATCATTTAGTAACGGGATACTTGTACTACAGGTATGCATAAATGGAATGTTTATTGGCGCTGTTCGTAAAGAGCGCAGGTCAAAATTGCCTGGACCATAATTTAAGGTTTCCATTTTTTGTCCGTGTGTCACTCGACTCTATTTGTGATGCTCAAAAAATTGAACGCTTCATCCAAATGAGCTGAGTTTTCTACAAAAGTGAGAACTCGCTAAGTGCCATCTCTGCTGAAAGTTATAGCTCTTTAGTGAGTGAATGCTCTTGTGATAATTGATATGCTTCGTTGAAAAATGTCCGCGCGGTACGTTTGGTCAAACCGATGACAGATATCTTATTTACAAAAAAGGAATACGTAGTGTGTACAGAGCTAGACTACTCATTTTCGTACTACATATATCCCAATGTTTAGTCGACTTTATTTTTTTTTCTCTGCGGAGTGTCAGTATCAATATCTATTTGACAAATCTTGTCTAATTATATTTATGTCAGTCATCAACTGATACGGGCACCTAAAAACGAATCTCTGGAAGTGATTCGACCTTTAGGTAAAGCTTGTGAATGCTACTTAATTTTCATATGTGAACTTTGTCGCTCAACCGTTTCTACACCGTGTTCTTGGTAAACACATTTTCGCTATGTCAAAACTTGAAATTGATGTAATTATGAATTCTTTTGTCAAAAGAAAATGTTGATGGTCAAAGCTTTATAATCGAACAGTCTGATCATCTATAATTCCAAAAATGGATTCCATTGGATCTTTATATTTAACAAAACCACAACTTGGTTCAGATATCCCATAGCCAAGAACACGCAGCTCATCTGGAGTTAATTGCAGTTCTTTGCAACGTTCAGGTGGTACCATTAGATATTCGTTTTCAGCTTGCCGATAGTAGCTTTTTGCCATAAATATTCCAACAGTTTCACGTCGTTCATCCTTAGTAGTATTTGCTCCTGCAGCATGATAAAGATTTCCCACAAAAATAGTTGCATCACCGGGTTCTAATTCAGCAGGTACAGCTTCTTCTACCAATGGAAAACGATTTTCATCTGTCCATAAATGTGAACCAGGAATAACAATCGTTGCCCCATTATTTCGATGCGTTCGTGTCAAAGCAGTAACACAACCAATCATTGCTGGCCAATCACATGGTCGAGTATGAAAATCATTACAATCACGATGAAGTTCTTGTTGTTTACCACCAGGATTGACACGAAAGCCAACAGTGGAAGAAATAATCGGTTTTGACACGGCAGTTTTCTTCATCGAGCCAAGATAGAATGAATACGTTGACGTTAACAAACGATTCGCTACCGATAGAAATAATGGATGCATTGCTAAATCGATACATGCTCGTGATATTCCGAACAGACCCGTAGCTCTCTGCGTTGTCGATGGAAAGAAGCCTGATTCATCGATAACATCAGTATCAAAATGAGGTTCAAGATCGTTTTTCACTTGTTCAATAAGATTTTTCTCAAACATTTCAGTAACAATAACGACTCCATCGCGTCGAAGGCGATCGAGTATTTCATCTTCAACAGTTTTTGATTTTGCTGACACACGTGTTATACTCATTGATAAAACAACGGAGCAAATGCCTTTGCTGTTTCTTCTTTATAGGTCAATGATAACATAGTGATAAAAGATTTGTTTCAATTCAAATAGATGACACAGCGCAAGTTCGTAGGCTGCATCTTGTTTTCTCTCTTTGCAAATCTTTGGAACAAAATACGGAATAGTGAAGACTTTATTGTATGAAACGAAAAGAATAGAAACAGTTGCTTTAGTTAATATAGAATCCGTTGTATTCGTTGTTTATGTCTTGTTTTAGCTTGAGTACGTGACGGATTGAATTTATTCTCCAGTTTTAAAAACGCAGCGTACATCACTACAGCTTGAACTGGCGTCATCACGAGAAATAAGACGACATTTGCTAAAGCTATCGACTGTTCACAAGCTTGTTCCTATTCAATACGGTTTTACACAATAAACTCATTCATCTACGTTCGAAAACTTACGAAATCTTTTGGATACATCACAGCAACTGTTGATTCAGTTGTTTGTGATTGACTGGTTGTTCCAACTGTTGTCACGGCTAGAAAACAAAAAGATTAATTCCAATATGTCAGTAAACTTTTATGGATATATGCTCTGACCAATTGTAGTTGCAACTGCAGCAGTAGATGAAGTAACAGTACTTGTAGTTGTCATCGCAACTGTTGTAGTTAGCGCAATACCAGTTGTTGTCAACTAAGATAATAGTCATATATGAAATGAACAAGAACAGCGTCTAGAGAGTCATACGAGAGTGTTAATGCTTGTTGTTGATGTTGGCTTTGTTGTCACTGTAGCCGTTGTCATAGGAGTTGTTGTCGTCGTTGTTGTTGACGATACTGCTGGATCCCATATGTTAAAAACCCAATAAGTCGGATCGGTGATTGGTGCAGATTCAGGACCTATAGAATGTGCTATAATTGTTAGTGAATATACAATAACTTACCACAAAATTCTGTACCACTTACAACGCCTAGAATCACATACGAAAGAGCACGGGTATAAAACATAGCTAAACTACAAATAGCATACCACCGTCCATTGTTACGTAGTAGAAATGACCGACTGTCCATGGTGTTGAGGTAAAGCGAATAACTGTTGTAAAACCAGTGAATGTTACTTCTGGTGCCCAGCCACAATCGAATTGTGCAACAATCGAACCGTTTGCAGTAGCATCATGAAAATAAATATAAGTACCATTTCGTCGTGGACGACCGACGGATTTAGTTGCTACGACATAGGAAATTTTTATTCGGAATTTATTGACATTAGACTTTTACTTTGAAAGGAGAAGACGGATTGATTTTGAAAAACCGTACCAACTGGTGATGCTGAACCTTGAACCGCAGTTGGACGAATGACGTCAGGTGATTCGAATCCAACAAGAAATGTGACACACCACTGATTTGATTGAAGACTTGAGTTATCGACTGCTCCAGCACAAAATGGTTGTGGACCATACTGATCAGCGGTTGGAATCCAACTCAAAATCAAATGGTAGATGTCTATGGAAGCAAAAGATAGACGAATAAACGTCTAATATGACATGATCAATACGAACTAGGACTAGGATTGAGAATTGCACTCTTCTTCATACCAATTGGAGAACTTGAAACGAAATTAACAATGGTTTGTCCAGGACAATATGTCTGAACGACAACATATTCGGTAACATTGGAACCGATTGGTGTACCAATACATGCTAATCGAAATGGACAATTAGAGATCTGAGAAAAAAGTAGTTCGATTTCAACTTACCTCGATTGGGTCGATTACCAATGATAGTCGGTGGTATAGAACAACCTGACGGTGTAGGATAACCATAGAAAAGAAACTGAAGTGGTACTGAACTCATGGGCGTTGTGGATGAAGCACTATAATAATCTTCGATTTGT